CTTTCACTTATTTACTAAAACCCCTGTCTTGTGCTTACATCTGAAGAAACGGTTGGAAAAATCCCACTTCATCCAAACATAACTACAAAGCAATGAACAGGATTGTTCATATATTTATCAGCCTAGGGCACTAAGACTCAACAGGCTTCTGTTTTTTTAATGTTGGAAGTTTAACCAGAATCACATGCTATCTTTCTAACTCAAATCAGCCTTTTTCCCCAGAGCCATCCTTTCCTTCATCTGCTTTGCCATGTCAGAGACATTTATCAAAAAAATTAAAATGAAGAAGGCCAGACATGATTAAACTGACCAGGGATATCCCTCTCCACCAGTTACATCTTATAAGTGTCTTTATTTCTCACAGAGAACATGTATTAAACCTGTCAGTGAAACACACATTTTAACAGTCCTTCAACTGCCACCCACAATGAGGCATACACTTGAGTGTGATCTAAATGCTTCTTTTCTATACACTGGTAGGCAACAAAAACGGACAAAGGCAGTTAATCAAACATGACTCACTTTTATTTAACAATTATGTTTCTCAGAAATAGTCCTATGGTCCCTGTAGCAGCAACCAAAAAGGCACATAAGTACAAAACAACTCAACACAGATTAGGCAGAGTACAAAATATTTAGACAGGCATTCTTAAAGCAAAATCCTGATATACATAGCTATATATTTGGTTTTATGAAAAGGAGCATCCTCCCCTTTACCAGTTTCCTTACTTATTTAATATGTCTGTATGTGTAACGTCCATCTGTGCTTAGTGAAAATCCTGACAGCGCAAACCTCCAAATATTACTATCAAATTACTTACGAATTTTATGTGCAAAGATTGAGTTGTGTTTCAGTAGTATTTGTACCATCTAAACTCTTATTGGCTATCTGTGAGTCTTCTCTTTTAAGCTATAGCAGTTTAGAGATAAAACTTAGGACATATCATTTTAGTGCTTCAAAGTTGTTTGACTCAGAAAATATTTAGTCACTGTTTCAAAATCTTGGTTCATTCTTCATGTTGTCTATGAATGAGTCCTTTTCCAAGACTGGTGTGATGCTTCCCTGACTGAACATACTGTATTGGAATTACACCAGTTTCACAATTCAGAGGTTTGAGTTTAGATATTTAAAAGTTAATAAAATTTAAAACCTCACCCATAATATCAAACATGCATGTAATTACATATGGAATGCAGGAAGCAAATAGTATTTAATATGAATTTACCATTTAGATAATGGATTTCTCTGGCCAGGCACTCTTAAAAACTGGCTTCCAAAAATAGTTAGAGAAAGAAAAGAACTGAAGTTCCTCCATCCTATAATTCAATTTACAAAAGGCATAATATAGCACGACATTATCCCCTAATGTGTTATTTCTGCCTTTTGGTAGTGCTAGGAACAGCTTATTTACATTTGGGGGGCAGAGAAGGATAATTCCTTGAAACTTATTTGAAGTTCCTACCTTCTGAGAAAATGCAGAGAAACAACACACTTCACATGGCTTTGGGGGAAAATGAATGTTCATATAATTTTTGAGAACATTTAAGGGTTTAGAGAAATAAATTTAAAACTTCATAGATTAAACTTATAAGAAAGTTGTGAATGCAACAGTGATATCCCCATTTTAAGGAATGCTAGTAAATAGAGGCTTTGAATTGGAAGAACCCTTCATTCATTATTGACATTCAAAGGCAATGATATATTTCAATCACTATGGGGACACTTACATAATCCACAACTCTTTTGAGTAACTTCACATCATTTTCTCGAGATCCACAGCTCTCCTCCAACTGTAGGTGCAATTGGAAGTGTTCTTCCAATTCAAACCCTCTATTAGTCATTCACTAATTCCAAAATTCAGCATTCTTCCCTTCACTGCATTTGCACCATTCTGGAACAATTTTGTTACTCAGTCAGGATTCAATGCCATCAGTGGAAGAATCTGGAAGTCACTATACAGTGTAAAACACTTATCCTGATAATTTGAGGAAAGAAGAATCCAAAACAGCAGTCTAATTCAATACAGACTGTGCAGCTTCCTTAAGAAGTGAAGCAGCCTTGTCCAGTTCTTGTTCTGTTTGTTCCACTGTTATCACTACTCGAATACTAGAAAAAGAAAACCAGAAGATACACAGTAAACTTTGCTCCTAGACTTAGGTTTTAGAATTATTTTGTACTAATTTCAACATATTAAGATCACAATCTTTAGGGAAATGATTATGAATTCAAATTCAATCAGAAACAAGACATATGACTAAACAGGAGTGGTCAAACTACTTTTCTGCATGCCTCTCCCTTCCCCACCCATGAAACCTGTTATCTTTTTTATCTGCAGACGCGCAGCTCACAGAATGTGCCTGGTAACAGACTACATGCTGATCACTGAGACTCACATAGTTTTGATACAGTTGTTTCAGGGTATTTGCAACCTGTAACAGCCACTGAAAATATACCTTCAAAATGGAGCCTTTCCCATCATCTTTCAGAGGACCAGCTATTCAATCCAGGCTAACAAACAAAGCGCCATCATTGTATGAAAAGAGCTGAAGAGTCATATCCAATAAAATGAAGTAATGCATTGAGTTTCTACTAACCTGGGTGGAGGGAGACATTTTTCTTCTTTCTCCAGATAGCGTGCCTGTGTTAATGCAATGCCACTATTCATGCACTACAAGTAAAGAAAATACAGCAGTTGTTAGTTTGGGAACTTCTGATGGCATATCCCTTTGACCACCAAATACATATAACTAACTACTATTAACTTGGTGTCAGGGTAACTGCAAGTTCTTTCCCAGACGGAGGTTTTGAAGGTTGTTCAGAATCATCTCTAATTTCACACAGCATTAACACAAAAATGGGTTAGGGTGCAACACCTTTCATTTGCATCCCCAAGTAATCAGACATGCCATATTAAGCCTGCAATTAAATCATATTTAAGCATATTTGCAAGGACACCAACTTTGTAATTTCTTTTTTTTTGTGTACTCTTGTTTACCAGCCACCTGATATATAAAACTTCATCAACCTTTATCTCCTTCATGTGGGAAAAAGAGAACCAATGTGTACTGAAGAAAGACAAAATAGTACATATAGAACATGAGATTCGTTGCCCACAAAAAAGCAAGTTCATGGGCTCAAACAAGCAAAATCACAGAAAGTTAGATCTCAAATGGTTAAAATACACCACCAGAACTCTGTTCTTACAAACATTATAAAAGTTGTCTAAGCAGAAGTTTTCTATGCAAATTTTAGTTTTCAAGTACATAACAGGAAATAATTCTTTCCTGAAGTAAAGGGTCTAATATATGTTTTTTAATTCAGTGCTACAGATGTATCTGCAACAAACAATGGTAAGAAGATGATCTTTAATATGGCC